GCTGTAATGCAAATTTGATTTGTTCCTCTAATAAATTCTCGCACAGGTCCGGAAACAAGTCCGACTCTGTTCTTATCTCTCACTTGATCGCTCACCTCATTAGTTCGAAACTGATGCACAGATGATTCCTGAAGTAAAAATATTCTAGCATGTGTATCACATTGTGCTGCGAGTTCATCTCTAAATCCTTCTTTCTGAGATGTTCCAAGATTCTCACTTCGATGAGAGCCTGGTGATGGAATCTCTTCTTGTTTCTGCGAAGAACAAGTGAAAGCCGCGATGTTTAAAATGTGTAAAAAAAATTACGCGACACGCTCGGAAAGCGGACACGTTCGGAAAAATGCCGGATGTATCGGACATTATTCATTGCGGACGCGCCATGTTTTTTTTTTTTTTTTTTCCAGATCATAATTCACTGATCTGAGTCATCGCGCGAGATGAGTGAGTGCCGTTTCCACGTACCTGATAATCTTGATGGCGATATGCTGTCCCGTTTTATGATCCAACGCTCGGATCACCTGACCGAAACTTCCCTTGCCGATCACCTCCAGGATCTCGTATCTGAGTGCACGCAAGTTTCCAATTCTTAACGTACGTACGAATAAACAAGGCGAGTGGACAAACGGGGATGTAAGAAAGGGGGATGCGAGAAGACGAGCGCGCTCTTATAATTGCTGATCCCGTTTAACCGTGTAGATCGTTCACGCGAGGAGAAAATTCGTCGACGAATATTTTTACTTACAGTCTTGCGATTTATTGCAATTCGCGCATGTTTAGACATATACAACTGTACGCACAGCTATGAATTTCTCCTCTCGAGAGTAATGCAAGTGCGCGCAATTGCGAGATTCCATTGCTAGCTATGCGGTCTAGCTAGTATACTCGGCGAAATAAACATCGTGCGCGAGCGGCGGTGACAATTAGGGACAGAAGGGGGAAAGTTGCGTTGAGGTTTGACGGAAGAGGACAAACGGGTGCTCACCCACCTGTAAGAGATATGATCGTGCAGGACTTTGTTGTAACTGCCGTTTTCATCGTCGTAACCGCCATTCTGGGAGGAGACCTCCTCGCCGTGGATTTTGTGGGCCGACAAACCCAGGTACCAAATCTCCGAGTACTTCTCGATCTCGGCACGCTCGAATTCCGTCAGTCTGGAGCCGTAATACTTCACCGCCTCCTGGGGCGTCATGGGCAGTCTCCCAGCTATTTTTTCCACGAAGAAAAAACACATGAGGCCGGCTGCGTACTTCAGGGAGTCCGCGAGAGTTACGTAAGTCTCCGACGATTCATAAATTCTTTTTTCGCTACCAGCGGAACGTCTTTGCCAATCGCACGCACACATCGCATCGTAGTATAAGCCTGTCCAATTTGAGCTCCGGAGCCAAAGCGATCGACGCAAAAAATTCAATGTGGATTAAGATTTCGGGGACTATGAAGCGTTGATACGCATCTGAGTGATCAACGCTTATCAACACTTTATAGTATCTAAAATCTTACATTGATTCTTTTTTTGCGTCGATGGCTTTGCGATTGGCTGAAATTGGACAGGCCTGGTATAGAGCCTTTCCTTTAGTCTGTTCTTGCACTAAACTGCACTAGAAATCTCTCTCTCGCTTTCGACAAATGTCGAACATATACCCATTTCACTTTAAGTTCCAAAAGTGTACGTCTGGTGTTCAGACCTTCTGATTAATTTCGGCTACAGAATGCGCTCAATTTCGAATAAGTAATATTTACAGTAATATTTACTCCTAATTTGCAAAGCAAAGTTTAAAAAGGACAATACAAGATGTATAATGTCGTAAAAATGGAATAATTACTTTTATTACTATCAAATCGAAATACATTTCGATCCATACCTTAGTTTTTTTCTCATCAGTTATTTTCAATTATAAACTAAAAAGCTGTAATACAGATATAATAACTGATAAAGACGCAAATGTGGATCGAAACGCATTCTTTTGATTTAGTAGTAAAGGTAATTGTGCACTTTTGCAATGCCGTATCTTGCATTGCTCCTTCTTGTACGTTTTTTTTTTTTTTTTTTTTTGTTAAATAATGCGCTCAATTTTCATTAAACCGTGTAAAACTGTACTTATTTGTTCGCCAAGTAAACCGAGAACCGCTTTTCCCAGAAGTATGAATAACATCTCTTATATATGCCGTAATCCTACATTGCCTGCAATTCACGTCAACGTAACAGCGCGTTCCGTATGTTCAAATGCGTATCCACGACGTCTTAAATACGCAATTCGGCCGACGGTGTATTAAATGATAGCTCGGCACGACCGGCACGTTTCCCCACACTTGGGCCGTATATGGTATCGCGATTTTCACGTAATCATAGAGTTTCTCACGTACCGTATACTTCGGGGGAAGTTGCGCTGATGGGTTCATGCAGCGGCATATTGTGGATGTTGTTGCTCGTGCTGTTAGAATTGTTCGCATTATTGTTGTCCGTCTTGTCCACTCGCGTCGGCTTGCTGTTGAAAAAAGACGGCAGTTTCTGAAACAGACGAAAGGATTTTTCTTTACGTACGAGTTTGAAAATCGCGTTGTGAAAATTTATAACGCCGCATTTAAACGAAAGCTCGCAAATTTATCTGCCCACGTTGCAGTGACTCGATTTTTTTTAAGGTACATAACATTCGGTTTCTCAAGAAGAAGGATATTCGCTATAATTCCAACATAAAACTTGAACAAATAAAAGAAATAAAACTGATCAAATGGCGCGTGTCGAGAGTAAATATATTCAATTAATTTTTAAGAGGGGCACATCTCCGAATTCCAAAGAGAGTTTAGCTTCTTACG